TACTCTCTGCGTGTTTCTCTCGAACTTACTTAGTTGGGTTTTATTTTTTTATTTTATTTTTCGGGGGGTTTGGGGGGGGGGGGGGGCATAATAAATCGATTGAATTATGGAAGATTTTCCTTTAGGATGACAAATAAGAGAAGACATAAATCGTACTAACAGGTAAAAATATCAACAAGTAACCTGCAAAATATTGTTTTTCTGCCATATTTTCCTATAATTTAAATGTATAAAATGCATTAAATGATAACATTCAGGTTCCAATACACCAATCTTTAGGACATAAAGAGAAAAAACACAACAATTCAGAATCATCATAATTAAAACCAACAATCAGTTCACTTTGGTTTTCAATAATATGAAAGAAGAATATTAATCCCCAAAAAATAAATGTGACATGAAAAAAACCTTGAATAGCCACTGAACGCTGTGGTGACATTGTTTAACTAATAAAGGACATCTAATAAACATATCAGGATTCAAATCATTTATTAATATTGACATAAACCTCCCATGTGCTGATCTGCTCTTGAAAGCTCCAGGGCTACTAAACGGACCTTGTGTTGAGATTGTGAAGGCCAATAGTGACATTTGCAATCCACTTGTAGGCAGAATGAACTCGAGAGATGGTTCAACAGAGCAAGAGACTCTCGTAAAGTAAAGTTTCTCATTTGATTTGTCTTTGGTTTGTGGTTTCACGCGCTGGTTCAGTCAAGCCAGTGAGCAGGGAAAAACATCAAAGACTTGAGTTCATGAATTGTTGAACATCCTAATAAGCATAAGGGACATAGGCCTACTGTATAGCCTTGAGCACTGCAGCACCAGACTGGGAATCAACATATCACAGTCGGAACATGGTATGAATGTAAAGTTTTATTATTTATGCCACAGTTAGGAAAGCACACAGTGGAAATCTAAAAAGTGCAAGAATGCAGAAGTGTATACTATGTAATTAATGATAATTAAATGACTTAAAGCAAATTAAAGCTGCTATAATCAGTGCTTTCTATATTAAGGGTGGTTTCCATAAGAGGGGTCCTACAAACCCGCAGAGAATTGTCTCACCCAACGCACTTCCTTTTGGCTAGTAGCATCTTTTAATTAATCTTTCATCTCACTCACATTAAGTCTCATCGCTCTTACTTTAAAAGTAGAGTGAATATTGGACTTAAATTTGCCAGCAGACGGACTAAGTCAGTGACTAGCTGGTGAGCATAGAGGAGCAAGAAGCTACAGTAATCGCTATAAGCCAGATGTTTATGTGTAGACCAAAACAGATCTAAAAGGAGAGTGTATATTGGACTTTATCCGATAAATAAATGTTGCTCTCTATCTGCTGGATGTGTACAACTCCATATCAAGGTATGATACCCTGATAATGTGTGTCTACAGTTTGTTTCCACTGCCTCAGACTGGGTGAACATTTACTGAAGGGTTAAATCTGTCTGACCACCCAGATAAATCAGTGACTACTTTCTCTGGTGTATAAATCTGTGCCCACTGCTAGGCTTATGAAGCAGAGAGGGAATTGTCGAGGTAAAATAATTGTTATATTTTAGATACTGGAGACCTCCACAGAGACCCGCTACACTTATGACACTGGGAAAGATGGATGAATGATGAGTTTGAAATTAATGGAAAACGCAAAAGTGCTGGCCTCCAGCTTGTGGCATGGGCACTGAACCTGAGACAAAGATTAAATAGATGAGTGGGTGCCAGAGTGACTCACCTTGATTAAATATACCGAGTAATTTCATACCGTCTTGGGGAGTACTCCAAAAGGCTTCCTAACATTGCATTCAAATATCACAGAAGAGGTTTGACCTTCTGAATAACGTTTTGGTCAGCTTTTCCCGCCGTCATATTCTGTTGAACCGCAGCGGTGGTTCCCAACCTTTGTCAGACTGTAGATTAATTAACTCTTTATGTTCCAAATGTGTTTAAACTGAATGTTGTTAATTATATAAAAGTGGATATTAGAATAATGTTTTCATACAATAACTGTCGATAATTTATTAATTTCAACCATTATCCATTATGCCAACCCTTCATTATGTTTTGTGCTATTTCAACTGCTTATCCATCAGTTTAGCTAGGCTATCTATTTCAAAAAATACTTAGCCAACTATTAATTGTACTTTTAGCTAATAGTTTAAGCAGACTAGGCCTGTTTCAACAATTTTAGCTATCCTCGAGCTAACTATTTCAACAACTTTGGCTACTTTCAGCTAACTTTAAACCATTTATCTATTACTTTTAGCTACATTTATGCATTAGGCTAACTATCTCAACCATGCTCACTCTATTTCAACTATTTATCCAATGCATTTTCCTAATTATTTGAACTCTTTATTCATTATTTTTTGCCTGCTAACTGGTTTTCATACACTTGCAAATAACTCAACATGTAGATTTTTTTAAATCAAATACTTTATCTTTTTTAAATGCCTCTCCACAATTTTTCCAGCTACTGTTGGTAACTGCAGAAATAACCCTGGTTGTTGGCTGTGACCTCTTATGTAAAATGTTATTATACAATAGCCTCTACTGTCATTGCTTAATTTTCTTACTCTGCAAGACTGAAAACAAGCACAGGTCAGCAATTGTCAAACGTTTGACTGACATGGATGCAGATTTAATGCCTGTCAGCAACTGACAGTCAGTGACAATAAACGGCACAGGACAGGAAATAGCCCAGTGTGTGTATGCGTGTAATAACCATTGAATGGTTAGGAAACATTACATTATACCACCTCTACAATACAAAACAAAAATAGAAGCATTTGCTGTGTATTCTATTACCCAGAGCTGATAAGGCAAACATTTATAGAAAACAACAGCGCTGCTGTTCTGTGAACATGTAGGAGCAGATGAGGAACTCGTCTGTGAGCGGGAGAAATGTGAGCCATAAACATATGAGTCGGACCACCCATGCTGTTAAGCCTATTTGTTAAGGGATAGAGGGCAGCTTCTCAACTGCAGGAGCTTCTGCCAATTAGGATAAAAGAGGTTAATCCTTACAAACGAGGATCACTGAAGCTGATGGTTTAATTTAGATGCATTGTAGCAGGACTGATGGCACTGTGGATTTATAATGCCACTATGAGCTCCGAGGGATGTGTTCCATATTTCTAGGTTGCAACCTCAAATTACCCTCCTCAATATGCATGAAAATGCTGACAAACACTCTGCATGCTTTACAGCTAATGACACAACTATATCAATGCCTGTAAACTACTGGCAAAAACATAAAAGTGGCAACAGAGACAATGAGTCAGATGTTTATGGGAGGGTTTTATGGGGGTCTCCAGAAACTAAACAGAGGGTTATTCATGATGTTTTTGGAAACCACAGTGAGTAATATGGGTTTAGGTCAAAAGCCATGAAAAGTTAATGCATATCTCAGTATAAAACCTACTCTACTGATGTGAGGAGGATTAAAACTGGATTATTTCATCACAAGGCTCCAAGCAACAGAGCCAGAATGAGGACTAGAGCTACCGTTAGACACCTGCCAAATTCCTGGATAAAAGAAAGGGAAAAAAGGTACTTTATTTTCGTTTGACTAAAACTGAGAGTTCCTCAAGGTTACATCCTCTACTTCAAATTGTTAATACAGAATCGAGATTCAATCAAACTCCAGAATATCTGAAAAATACATAAATGGCACTAAAAACAAACCCAACATGGAGCACCGCCACACGTCAGACAACACGTCATACCAAAAGTGAAAAGCCTTCTTTATTGTAAAGTTTATCAAAGTTTAAGTCAATTTTGTTCCTTTATGCTTTTGAAAAAGCCTTGAAAATATTTTCATATTTTGGTGGTAGCATTTGGAGAATATTTGCGCTCAAGGCTTCTCACGTGTTTGTTCTATGACAACAGTATTTTGTATAAATAAACCTATAATTATTATTTCTCTAAAGTTCTAGCCTACTCGGTCTGTCATTGAGCAAAACTCTTA